TGATAAAAGTAGGAAGCATATATATATATATATACATACTGGTTAAATAAATAATATCAGGATTCAAGTCATAAAATTAAATTTACTTTTTTTTACTAGGAGGGTAACATTAAATAGAAATAATTTACTTTAAATAACTTTTATTAAAAGTCCGAAGAATGCGTGAAGCGCTAGTAAATTTTATGGAGATATTTGTAAGTTATTTCTATTTAGCGTGACCGTTACCGTGAGTTAACTACACTTTAAGATCGAGAGAAAGTGTTACTCAAATTCAAAATTTAAGATGTTTAAAAAGGAGATATATTTTTATCTTGTTTGGGGGCTTATGTAATAATAATTATGTTGTAAACCACTACGCCCCGATAACCAACATCCTTTAACCAGTATTTCCCAACCGGTTAATAACTAGATTTACAATTTAACCTTTTTAAATATTAAGCCTTTAATAAATACTTTTTCCAATTTGAAGAAATGACAACTTCACTACGTAGTTGGCCTACAATTTTCAGATATTTGTTTACAATGACTAACTACATAGTAGTACAACAATATTATATGTATATACTTACAATTAATAATAATTATTATTTCTTGTTAGTGTAATAATTATCATTAAACCTGAAAAATCAGTCATGCGTTTTAGCAATCGGATTGTCGTGACATGCTGATCAATGCTAAATATACTTTTTATCGTCCATTTCGTATCCTGGTGAGGCAGATTCGTTCAATAACAAAAATTTAATTACAATAATAATAATAATAAAAAAGAACTGGCACGACACAAAATCATTAACTTCACTTTCGATCTTTTGTGTAGTATTTTACATCGTCATGGTCATAGACAGAATTTAAATCCTCTTCGTCTTCTCTTTTGTAAACTATTTGAGGCACGTAGTATTTAACACCCGAGGAATATACAATTCCAATTTCTGGAACCGTTTTCCTCTGATGGATTACATCGGCGTAATTATTGTTTCCATTATAAGCTGGCAAATTCTTTTGGTAAGCAGTTTTAATTGATTTCCTTAAGAGCTCGTAATCCTGCTTGTCAAACACATGTGGTCCCCTATATTGCCGTCCAAGTGCTTGCTGTTTCTCATAGAGGTTGTACTTGTCGTAGTTGAACGTATATTTTTGGTCTAGCGGAGTTCCCAGGATAAGATTAGGATTAGGCGAGAATGATAATAGTTTTGCCCTGTACTGTCTTGGTATGATGGGTTTGTATGAGTACGGGTTGGGGACGTCTTCGGCCACTTCGTACACCGGTGCTGGGACTTTTCTTGCATTACGGTTTACGATTGGAGGTACCGGGGTTGCTGGCACCGAAATAGGACCCGTATTCGTACCAAATGTTACCGTTATCTGATTAGAGGATGGAATGTTAAGGACTGTAGCCAAGACCTGAAAATAATAACAACTATTATTATACATATTTTTGTTACTAATAAATATTAATAACTAACTGACGCAGCAGACTTCGTACTGCCTCAATCGATAAATAAAAGACCTAAACTTTTATATAAAATAAACTTAAAATAAATAAAAGGAATCCATAATTAATAAAAAAAAATGCTCGGTATGAATGAATTTTTATTATTATTTTCGATTAATTACACATGATGTTGCTTATTGCAGTTTTCCTGAAATATTGGCTTTTTAGAAGGTTTCAATTTGATATTGACGGACACACACAGTTATGATACAGTCTGTTAATCAATTTGTGACAAAACTTAAGATTTATCAATCTACATAACAACTTTCATATTGACTCATCTTTTAAACCTTCTCTGGACTTCCAAAAATAATTCAAGACCAAAATTAGCCAAATTGGTCCATCCGTTCTTGAGTTTTAGCGAGACTAACGGACAGCAATTCATTTTTATATATATAGATTTTAACTTAAATGTATGTATATTAAGCGTAAATAACTAACTGAATTATTATTTGTTTTAGGCGAGTCGTAGGGGTCTACTTTTGCATTGGTAAGTGGAATTATATTTTTTAATATTTTCCAAGTATATTTATGCCGTAGTGTAACAGCTTTTAAGGTAGAAATCCCCGGGTATCACATTTTTTAAATACTTTCATAGGGTGTATTTCATTGCATACATTATCAACCCTACTATTATTATAGTTACAATAATAACGAAAAAAAAAAAACAACATTACGTTTATTGGACAAAATTTACCTATTTCACCATATTAAGCATATTAACAAAAATTATTATATAAAGAAAGAATAAAAGACAAACAGAGTAATGATGTGCTTATTCCATTATTCGGTGTCAGTTCTACAATCGAATAAATACATTAGTACCCTATTTGGCGTCGATTAGTTTTTCTTATTCTGAATTAGGGGAAGAAACAGCGAATAAAAATTATGATAGACAATCTGCAAGGAAGGATGGCTTGCAAAGTTGTAAATGGTTTTGAATAAAAAAATATCTACCTTAAGTTCATGTAAATCCATATTCAAGGAGAAAGAGAGTAGATTTTCGCAAATTTTGTATAACACAACATATTTCGCCAAACTTTGACTTCTATAAACATTAGTAGTTACTACTAAATCTAAAGTGTAACCTCTATTTTAACGCCAATATTTGGCGAAACATATCGCATGCTAATTAAAATTTGTGAAAATTTACTCTGTATTTTCCCTAATAAAATGAATTTAAATAAAATTTCCATGAAAATTTCATTTAAAAAATGCTAAAATGGTCACATTACCCTTTGCAGTCTAATGATAAAACTATGTGGGGAAAGACAAGTCAAGAAGTGGGTGAAATACCCCTTAGAGAATTACAAAAGACGTCATGATTGAGATATTGTTACAATCTTTGATACCACTAAAACTTATAGATATTTTTATAATTATTCCTGAACCTGTTTCAACAAATGGAAGGAATCTAGGGGCAGACAAAGTTACTAGTACCCTAAAGTACTATTAAATGCATCCTTTACAAGCGTATCTTTTGGTATTTTGAATTTACCTTTCTGGTTTCTTTTTATTTGCTAAATTATATATCTATTATTATTATAAACGAGTTTTTTATCTTATTTTCTTGTGGTAAATATTTTGAGGAGTGGTTTGATGTTATTAAAACACCACCCAATCCATTAAATACAGTTACAACGTGTTTTGAATATCAAATTGACACCTGGTTCAAAACGATTCAAATAATAAATCAAATATGAGTGAAATCAGTCAATTCGTTCCAGAAATGTTTTATATTATTTATTAACTGGTATGTAATTGATGATCAATGTATCTTGTGTTTATCTACAATCAATAATAAGTAGTTGTCTCAAATTCTGATAAAAATCTATCGATCTGTCCATATAAGTGCAATCTGTAATGTAGTTTCATTCATACGTAGGTCACATTTATAGGTGGAAATTATTAACATAAATTTAAATATCAGTCCGGTTCCTTATTCAAGATCTAAATGACTTTTTTTACGTTCTCATCTCGTTGATAAATATGTTTCGGAGTAGATACAAAAGTGTGATAAACTGCCTTTATGGTATTTTTATGGTAACGTATGAGGCTTTCTTTTGGCTGGCACTATGATTTATGTTAAATTCAAATTGTTTGACAACTAGAAAATTTTTAGGAAACCATAACTTTTAACTTTAGCGGAAATTGCAAAGAAATACTACAATAATAATTCATCTATAAACGTATACCGATAATTTAGAATGCATTACGTAAATAAAATGGAGTTAATAATACTTTTTAGACAAGTTTAAAGGAAGCGAAAAGGAGTACCTACTACTATAAAACCTTATTTGGCATTTAATCTTTTTTAAATAGCGACCTCTATCATTAAACACAAAGGTAATAAACGTATAGTCTTTCCTGACTACGTCTGTGAGATTAGGACGAAAGGACCTCTTTACCCTCCTTTTAGGAATTACGAAAATGGGTGGGTGGTGGCTGGGTAAGTGCTCAGGGCACCGTAATCGAAGGGGACCCCCTAGTTTCTTCCAAAACCAATATTTGTTACCTATAAATATATTTATTTTAAGAAGTTTTAGCAATCGGATTGTCGTGACATGCTGATCAATGCTAAATATACTTTTTATCGTCCATTTCGTATCCTGGTGAGGCAGATTCGTTCAATAANATTGAAAAATCTTTTTAAAAAGAATAAAAAATTAATTAGGAAGTCCAGCGCTTCAAGAAAGATTGATTAGTATGTCACTGATGTCTATAAAATGTGACGTACTCAAAGACATAGACTTTTAACTAATTGAGCCGATTTTTCTTTTATCAAAACACGTACATAGAATTTTAAGCACTAACCTATGAACGCTAAAGAAATTACTATTTCAAATTATAATACAGTTATATATTCGTTTATTCTGATTGTAAAGAAACTAAAATTATTGATCAGTAAATTTAAATTTTTTAAATTTTTTGCTTATCTACTTTTTTTAGGTGTTTAAACAAAATAGTCCTCTGTCAAAGCCATAGGGGCTTCGTTACCTATATGTGCCCGGGGCCTTCCATAAGTTAAAGGGGTTTTGGATGGGCCAATAAACAAACAGAACAAATGCTAGTGATAATAGAACATATTAAATTTTTCTACCAAATACTTCTGTTATCAAGTCTGACCCTTTACATGAGCCCCAGATAAATCGATTGTCCTTAGAATTTTTTTGAATTTTTATTTTATTTGTGCGTTTGATGTATAAGTTACGAATACATGTAAATAATTTCCCTTATAAATTCGTAACTACGCATTTGTCTAATTCAAATTGATATCTGCGTTAACAGGAAGTTAAATGATTTTCGAATCAACGGTATTGATTTACTGTTTTTTTGAAATTCTGCTTTGAAATTAAGAGTAGTTAACATTTATTACTAGGTAAATAATAGTAAGATTTCACTCAAATCGCGTGCATGTATGCCTGCAGGAAGTGCCATAGTTTCCAACATAAAACCACCATAACGAATAGTTCTGCGCAAAATAAGAGCACTTTTTCAAAATTACCTCGACTGCTGTATTACAGCTAGGTAATAATTGATTCAGAATTCCTACAAACAGAAGAAAAAACCACGCGAAGTGATGGTGCCTTATATTTCAAACGCTGATGCTGACTTCCGTGTTTTTCCACCGATGATCTAATTAAATGCTAACCTCACACGCACTACTATAGTCGCAATTTCCGCGTTCATATGATCGGTACCTAAGTGGTACGTTTTATAAATGCTTCGTAACGTTTTGCACTTAGATAGATTTCTGCTCTTTCGTCTGATTTTTAATATGCAACTGACTGATGATGATGATGTTCTAAAGGGACTTTTAAAAAGATAGGCATCAAGTATTACTGATGAATATGAAGACATAGTAACTAATGACTGCTTACATAGATAAAGTGTATAGGAGAATCGTAAAAGGGCAACACTGACCGCCAACGTGGCTCGTTCATTGGCCCCTTGAGTGTGGCTTACAATTAGCTATAGGTGACTAGAAGCGATTAGTAATTGTATTTATAATCCCGTATAGTATCGAAAAATAGCGCGTCATCTTTTGTTCACGAATTATGTAATATGCTATATAAGTAACACTCACTTAGCGCTTCAAATAGGTACTATCGCGCCACTGGATATTGATGGACGGTCACAGCTACTAGGGGGTAGCAAGCATGAAATATATGGTGTTATGGGATTATAAAATGAAAGTATCGTGGATGAAAAGTTACAAATGAGGAGGGTTAAAAAAAGTAGAAGTCTCATTCTTCTACTCCTTCTGCAATGAAAGTCAATAAGGAACAAAACAGATATGATGGTAGGACATTCCTTAAGATATGCGGAAAATTTAGGTTACATTACTGTTGATGTTCCAGTTTTTGGAAAATGCGAATATTTGTTCAGAACAGGAAAGTCCAACTCAGACTGATGACCCTTTGATACATTCGTTCCCTTGTTTTCCTTGACAATTTAGTTCTTCTAGCTTGGTATTTTCTCTTATCTTATGATCTCTTTAAGAACGTTTAATAAGTTCATAGTTTTTGGGAAGTATCAGATGCTGATCGCGATTTCGGCTAGGCAGAGTGATTACTGACCAAACCGAAGAAGCTTCTATAGGTCGAGGTTAATAACCAAATAAAAGCAATGTATTGCCATCTGGTGAATTTTTATTTCTATTCAGGGATTTCAAGTGTTAGACAAGACAAGACTTCAAATACTTTAGCTGCAGCAAATTCTCAGCAATTGACAATGCATTGCCTATTTGAATCTACTTAAATAAGCAAGGAATACTTTATGGTAATCGCGCAATTAGGACGTAGTGTTTGCGTAGGGCGTAGGTACATGCACTATATCAAATTAAAAGTTTCGGTTGCCACCTATTTCTTTTTATGAAATACGTGTACCATACTTCGTGAGTGTTGTG